GGCCAAAAAATAAATTAAATAAAAGAAGACCTTGAGTTCAAATCCATGTGAATGAAAGCCGCGTGGCCCTAGAAAAGCCACTCCGCCTCTCAAGTGTCCCAATGAATATGGATGTATTCCCCTGCAATAAGTTTTCTTTCCAGTTGACTAATACCTTATATTCCAGAAATAGGACAGTGAGCACCTCAGAATCGGAGAGGCGGTGATAGCTCAGAGGATTAGGACTCGAACACCAAAAACATAATTAAGAGAAGAGCATGAGTTCAAATCAACCTGAGCAAAACCTGTGTGGCCCTAGCCAAGCCCCTTCACCTCTCAAGTGTCCAAATGAGTATAGAAGTCTTCCTGTGGTTTGAACTTTCTTTATAGATGATCAATGGCTTATGTTCCAGAAATAGGAGAATGAGCAGAAGTAAGCCAGCGAGTTGGTGATAGCTCAGCGGATTAGATCTCTGGCAACAAAAAAAAAAAAGATTAAAAAGACCATGAGTTCCAATCTATATGAGCAAAAGCCTTGTGGCCCTAAAGAAGCCACTTCACCTCCCAAGCCTACCAATGAATGTAAATGTCTACATGTGATCTGAGTTTTCTGTCTAGTTGACTAATGCCTTATATTCCATAAATAGGAGAATGAGCACCTTGGCATCTAAGAGGAGGTGATAGCTCAGTGGATTAGAACTCTGCAAATAAAATAAAAAAAAGGCCATGAGTTCAAATCCATCTGAGCCAAAAACACTTCTTTAAAGCCTTCCAAAGAATATAAATGTCATTCCATGGTGTGACTTTTTCTTCTGGTTCACAAATGCCTTATATTCCAGAAATAGGTGAATGAGCAGGGTTAAGTATGAGAGGAGGTGATAGCTCAATGAATTAGAACTCTGACAACCAACAAAAATCCAAAAGTTCCAATCCCGCTCAGTTGGATCCTTGTTGAAGCCACTTCCTCTCCTATCAATTAATTTAGATGTCCTTCCATGGTGAGAGTTTTTCTTCTACTTCACTAATGCCTTATATTACAGAAATAGGAGAATGATGAAGAGGAAGAGTGAGAGGAGGTGATAACTCAGAGGATTAGAACTCTGGAAAAAAAACAAAAAGTTTAAAAAGACCTTGAGTTCAAATCTAATCCTCTCAATCCTTTCCATGAATGTAGAGCTCTTTCCATAGTGAGAATGTTTCTTCTACTTCACTAAAAAAAAGACCAGGAGTTCAAATCCATCTTAGTGAAAGCCTTGTGGCCTTAGACAAGCCACTTCGCCTCTCAACTCTACCAATGAAAATAGAAGTATTACCATGTTGTGAGTTTTGTGTCTAGTTGACTAATTCCTTATATTCAAGAAATAGGAGAATGTGCACACAAGCATCTAAGAGGAGGTGATAGCTCAGAGGATTAGAACTCTGGCCAAAGAAAAAAGAAAGTAAAGAAGAGCTGGAGTTCAAATCCCTCTGAGCAAAAGCCATATGGCCTTAAAGAAACCCCTTCCCCTCTCATGCATCGCAGTGGGTAGGGGTGTGTCTCCTTGTTTTAAGATCACTTTCTATTTGGTTTATTTTTTTTCGACAGTTGCAGTAACAATTCTCATATATTAGAAGTATACTGTGTTGTTTACTGGAAGTTCTGCAACTTGCCACTAGCTGTCAGAGATATGTTTAGTGTTAAAGACGTGCAATGTAATCTTCTTTCTAATGCAGCTACAAGTTTGTTATTAGGATGTTATTGTTGTCTCTGTGACCTTGTAAGTTCCTGTTCTGTGTTGCCACTTCTAATAAAGCAAGAAGGGGTTGCAGAATGCGTCTCAAGCGGCCTGACTGTTTAGAACACATATCTGCTGCAGCTCAAGCTTCGCCAAAAAATAGAGAATCATCTCCCTGTTCATATCCCAGTCCAGTAGGTGGCGGTAAATGCACTTAAAAACTGGTTTGCCTGCCACCATAAAACATATAAAGAAGGAAAATAAGCCTTCACTTCAGTTCCCACTCCATGGAACAAAGTTCCACTACATGATGTTTTTTTCTTTAAACTATTTAGAAATAGGAGAGTAAATGTTCTGGTGTCTAAGAGGAGGTGATATTACAAAGGAAAGGAGGTTTGGCTAATATATACAATCTGAAAAAGGTTTTAATCCATCTGAGTGAAAGACTTGTGCCCTAGCCACGCCACTTCACCTCTCAACTGTCCCAATAAATATAGAAGTCTTCCTGTGGTTTGAGATTTCTTTCTAGTTGACTAATGGCTTAGGTTCAAGAAATAGGAGAACGAGCACTGTAGTATCTGAGAGGGGGTGATAGCTCAGAGAATTAAAACTCTGGAAAAAAAAAAGTTTAAAAAAACTATGAGTTCAAATTCGTCTGAGCCGAAGCCACTTCTCTCAAGCCTTCCCATGAATGTAAAGGTCTTCCCATGGTGGGAAATTTTTCTTCTACTTCACTAGCGCCTTAGATTCCAGAAATAGTAGAATGATGAAGGCTGAGTCTGAGAGGAGGAGATAGCTCAGAGGATTAGAACTCTGGCAACACAAAATAAGTTTAAAAAAAGATCATGAGTTCAAATCCATCTTAAAAACAGCCTTGTGGCCCTAAACAAGCCTCTTCACCTCTCAAGTCTATCTATGAATATACAAGTCTTCCCGTGGTGTGATTTTTGTGTCTAGTTGACTAATGCCTTATGTTCAAGAAATAGGAGAGCACGCGCTCCAGAAGCTGAGAGGAGGTGATAACTCAGAGGATTAGAGCTCTGGAAAAAAAAATTAAAAAAGACAATGAGTTAAAATCCATGTTAGCCAAAGCCACTTCTCTCAAGCCATCCAATGAATATCTATGTCTTCCCATGGTGTGAAATTTTCTTATATTTCACTAATGCCTTATATTCCAGAAATAGGAGAATGATGAAGGGTAAGAGTGAGAGGAGGTAATAGCTCAGAGGTTTAGAACTCTGGCAAAAGAAAAGACCATGAGTTCAAATCCATCTAAGCTGAAGCCACTTCTCTCAAGCCTTCCAATGAATATAGATGTCTTCCCATGGTGTGAGTTTTTCTTCTGGTTCACTTATGCCTTATATTCCAGAAACAGGAGAATGAGCAGGACTATGGCTGAGAGGAGGTGATAGCTCAATTAATTAGAATGCTGACAACAAACACAAATCCATGAGTTCCAATCCCTCTCAGTTGGATCCTTGTAGTCCACTTACCCTGCTATGCCTATCAATTGATTTAGATGTCTTCCCACAGAGTGAGTTTTCTTTCTAGTTGACTATTGCCTTATATCCCATAAATAGGACACAAACCACATTAGACCCAGAGAGGAGGTGATAGCTCAGAGGTTTAGAGCTCTGGCAAAAATGGCCAAAAAGATCGTAAGTTAAAATCCATCTGAATGGAATTCTTGTGGCCCAAAACAAGCCACTTCACCTCTCAAGCCTCCCAGTGAATGTCTGCCTATTATGTCAATTTTCTTTCTAGTTGATCAATGCCTGATATCCCAGAAATAGGAGACAAAGCACCATAAAGTCCAAAAGAAGGTGATAGCTCAGAGGATTAGAACTCTGGCAACTAAAAATAAATAAAAGAACGTGAGTTCAAATCCATCTGAGCAAAATCCTTGTAGCCCAAGACAAGCCCCTTTACCTCTCAGGCATTCTAATGGATTGCAATGTCTTTCTGTGGTGTGTGTTTTATATTCCAGAAATAGGAGAATGAGCACCTTAGAGTCTGAGAGGGGGGTTATAGCTCAGAGGATTAGAACTCTGGCAACCAAAAGTATCTATTAGGGTTACATAAATACATAGACTAACACAGGGGAACAAGTATGCAGCCAAGTGCAGGAAAATGGCGGCAGGTATTGATTTAACGTTCCGTTTTCTTGCTGCCAACATAGCAGTGAGTATATAATAAATAACTAGATGAAACAGAAGGGACATGTCAGAAAGAAAAATGTTTATTAGTCAACAACAAATTGCTTCATCCTGGGCTGCACTTGCAGGAGTGCAGGCTAAGACACCTTGTACAGCAGCCGCCTGGTCCTCCTACATTAATTGACTCAACAATCTGAGCTCATTGGTTTCCAGGAGAAAGGTGTTATATTACTCTCTCTCCTGTAAACTCATAAAGGTTTTTTTTTTTTTTTTCAGGCATGTCGCTACTGTTTTATGATCTACTTATTTACCATGTGTATGCTGCCATGTTGATACTGGGAAAACGTAATGAATCGCTAGCATATTAGCTCCACCAGTGTCGCCCTATCTACAGGAATGCATGAATGTGACATTAAAACTCTTATAAAGATATCACTTCCTGTGGGCTGGGAAAGGGGGCAGGGTAGGTACTATATGTATGCTTAGATGTATTGGCAGTAGGAAAGGAAAATATTAGGGATGCACCGATATCAAGTATCGTACCCAGTACAAGTACAGATACTTTTCCAGCTCCAAGACTAGACTAGAGAAAAAAATCAAAAGTTAGGAGGCAGCTGTCATTTGTAAGGAGCACACGGAGCTCCTGGGATTTGTACATCTCTGTTTTAATGTATAAATATATATTAGGGATGCACCGATACCATTTTTGCAAGTACAAGTACTGATACATTTTTGTTAAGTTTTTCTAAGACAATACAGACTAATGATTTCAGGACAGTGGTGGAGCGCCCGAGCCAGGTCCCAGCTGCAACCGCTGCAACCCTGATAGTTTTCATGAAAATGCCAAGTATCGGCATTGGTATCTGAAAAGTATCGGTGCATCCCTAGAAAATATGGTAGGTTTTCAGTTTTTAATTGATTTGTATGTGGTGAAAAGCAGTTCTGAAATGAAGGAAAGCCAGTGTGCACAAGCCTTTTCAAACATTGAGACATTTTCAGGGGCAAAACCTTCTAAGAACCACTCTGTAGAGCTTAGGGTGGTTGAGATAATGTACTCAATGTACTAACTGTTCTTTAATAAGGGGCTACTTGTTAATAAATCTTGCCTTTATCTCAGACAGAGTAACGGGGATACAGATCCTCAAAGAAAATGGCTCAAGCCACAAGTAAGAGCGACTTGTCGGCCGCCACAACGTCTGTCAAAATACAACTGGATGAGGGAGAATTAACTGCTGGTTTCAGCTTCAAGGAGGCCATCGCAGAGTTTCTAAACAAGAACCTGAACAAGGACGCGCTCAAAAGTTTCGAAGCGAGGGTGGAGATCCTCAGGAAAAGCTCTTTTTTTATCACTATCCAACCTAAGAAAATATTACTTAGTCAGCAAAACACCATGCATTATGTCAACATATTTCAGGTTGTAGACCCTCAGAGATTCCAACGTATGAAAACAATAGGTACCAACCAGACCAAGATTCAGCTGTTTATCCTTCAAGAATATTTGGAACAACTGAAGAACTGCCAAAGGGAACTGGTGGAGCTGGTTCAGTCGAAAAACGGGGAGTTCTCACTGGCAATTCAGAAGGACCCCGTTCAATATCTATCAGAGTTATCGGAATTACTCAACAACTTTAAGAACATGTTAACGCCTGGACCGCTCCACCTAAAACACCAGCTCATACCACATGTGCCAGTCCGCCAAATCCCCCCACTGCGGCTGATCTTGAAAACCAAAGGACCGGTGACGTTTGACCGGAAGGTGGCAACGGCTTTTGACAACTGGGCTTTTCTGAGCTGGCACGTTTGCGGACAGCGACACCTGACAGACAGTTACGAACTGTGCTTCCAGCAGCTAAACGTACCCTCAAACGAGGTGGCGCACAGTGGCATACACATTATCAGTAGCAACACCTTTAAGATCTACAATCTCTTGCCAGAGAAGTTGTATGAGTTTTCCATACGGAGGACCGAGGCGTTCAACCTAGTGTACGATGAGTGGCGTGATGTCATTACACTGAGCACAGGGGAAAACTCGGCATGTAATTTGGCAAAGTCTCAAGCATTTGGCGACTACCAATTCTAAATAAAAGGGACTGGGGAAAAAAAAAGATGTATGGCTGTGAGTTCTTGTGCTACAAGGAGGTAGACCTGTCGTTAAGGGTTAAGAATCAGGCCCATCCTTGTTATCTCCCCCCGCTCATACTCCACTTTACAGCTGGAGGGTGGCAAGACTTTTTGAACACATCATTTCTGAAGATGCCGTGACACTGTATCACCAAAAACATTCTCTTTGGCCTACTGGTGAACATCATCACTCTAGTAATGCTTACCTTAAGCTTAGAGCAGACGTTCCCCCCCCCCGCCACCCCACAAGTCTCATTTCCATTTTCAGTTGGCATGTGCAAAGGCAATATAAAGTTAGATTCAATGTATGTGTAAAACCTATCAATGTACTTCACCTATGTATTTATATATCTCTTATCTACATAAAACTCCATGTGGTGCTGTAGCAACCATGGGGCGAACACAGGGCACCATTGGCAACAGGGGCGCCAGGCGGCCAACACAGCCGCGGCTCGGCAGGGAGAAGAGGAGTGGCACAGGCTCCAGCTTCTCCTCCGATCCCCGCTGCTCCCCCCCCCCCCTGTATGGGCAGAGGACTCTGTGTCCTTAAAGGAGAACTATGAGGCGAGTGATTTTCACTCAGCCTCATAATCTGAACCGACCTGTGACAAAGAAACTGTCACAGGTCATCTCAGTAGATCGGAAAGTGAGCGAACACATACCGATGCTCGCTCACTTCTCAATCCTGTGCCGGCAGAGAGCTGTGACAGGGGAGGGACTGGATTCCCCCCTCCCCTGTCCGACATGTGGTAGGACCAGCAGGAGGTAAGGAAAAAAATGCCTGAAAAAAAGAAGAAAGCTCATGGAGATATCACACAGGTACACATAACACAATAAAATCAGCAATTTGACATTGTAGTAAAATGTATTTCATGAATTAAAACATTAAACTAATCCCAGAGAAATACCTGACTGTTCTTACATTTAATACCAAATAAAACATACACATTCCCTGACCTTCAAGTGAACAGAAAGCTTTGCAGTGGTTTAAAAGTCTGAGCTGGCCATTTAATCAGAAAAATGCAATACAAGGGGCCACTGCACCTTATATAATTTTGGTGGTGGGGGTGCCCAGGTGTTCCCAGCTCAACCTACCTGCCCTCTTCATGACAAAGGCTTCTCTTGTTTTTTCTTGAATTTGTTATTTGTTGCACATTAGTGAATAAAAAAATAATTAGAAGAAGACACGAACTGATTCAGCCCACCAGAATTCACCCCTAACCTGTAAGTTTTGGGTGGACTATGCCTTTAAGTTTTAAAGGGACACGGCACGTCTACACAGTACATGTAGCTACTCTGTGATACAAATTATGCCTGTCAATTGACTAGGATCTAGTGATATCCTTGATCCAGTTGATTTCAGATGTTTTAAGGTACTTGTTTTAGATATGCTGTGGCAGCAGCAGGTTTACACAGTTTACAGCACAAACAAAATCCCGCTAGTCTTGCAACGTCTTAGTAAAACAAATACGGAAGACAAGGACCTCTATCTATGTGCTATGTACAAAGTCAATGACAGCAGCTGTTTCGATGGCAAGCTGACCATCTGAAATGTTGGTGACACACAAAAGTATTCAAGATGCCCCTTCAGGAATGTATAAAGAGGAAGGAACGCAAGTGGTTACCCGCTGTGACTAAACACATCAGAAAATGTTATTGTCTGCCCTACGTTAGGAGTAAGCAAATGGAATATTTTTGCTATGGGCAACACCATTTCCTCTTCTCCAATATTTGTTTTTATAATTTTGGGTACGTTATAAAAACTGTATGGAAGTGCGGCTGCTGCCTGCAATGTGGAACTAAACCGCCAACTGGGGGAGCTGGGATTTCATTGTCCCGCCACTCATTTCCATTCTCAGCATCTTACAGATGGCAGCAGTGGGCTGGGAGCATACACTGCATTGAGCATGCACTGTGTCTGCGACATGTCATTGCTCTGGGAGAATCCAGAGAAATGTGCAGCTGCAATGTTTGTCAGCAAAGCCATTTGTAGTCGCCACGAGAAGCACATGTAATGGGGTGGCAACGCAGGAGCACAATTGTGAGAAAGGGACATATAGGGTTGCCACCTGTCCAGGATTCACCCGGACAGTTCGGGTTTTGAATGCTGTGTCCGGGTTTCATGGCAGCAGAAATCCGGACACACGATGTCAGGCAGACAGGGGCAACCAAAAAAAATAAAGGGTCTACTGGTCCCCCACTGTACAGTCTCCACTGTGATATTTACATATGAATGGGTGGCGCTATTTAAATATGAATAAGCCACGACTCCAAAAAAATGCCGTCCTTGAACTCCAATCGGTGACTTTGCCTTAGGCTGAGATGATGTCACCAGTTTGCTGCACGCAGGAGGAAGCATTCCCTTCACCTCCTCTCAACAGCAACATTATAACTTTGTGGCAAGTCACAAGGCGAGAGGCTGCAGCAGGGCCTACTCTGTGCCTGACAAATGTAAACACAGCCAAGAACTGCGCAGACACCAGAAATTGCATGATGGCGTCATCTCTGAGCCAGCATCTCAGCACAGGAAGTAGAAGCCAACCCCAGATGATGCCTGAACAAAGAAGGCTCAATCCTTCTAGAAAGAAAAGCAGATGAAGGCAATGGAGGAGCTTGAGGTATAAACTACCTGGAAGTTGTACACCTAAACATTACATAGCATCCTGCACTTACCATTAAACCTTGCATGGGACCCCTGCACTGCAAGGGTTAAATACAGGTTAAGTCTAGGGGGTAGACTTATTTCTTGCTGCAGCAGGCTTCCAGCACTCTCTTCCCCTTTCCAATGCGTTGGGAAAGGGCATGTTCTTGTCTTCCTCGCGTACAATACAGGACTATTAGGGCAGGTTCACACCATTTTCCAGACCAGATCTCTTCAAGATCTGGTCCGGAAACTGGTGTGAACCTACCCGCAGTTCCAGTGCATTCCAGATCAGAGAAAATGAGACGTGCAGTATTTTTCTGGTCTGGTCTGGTCTGGAACGGACAGCGCTGGTGTGAACAGAGGCCAGAAATAGCATAGGGATACATTAGGATGCATTTTGGGTCCGGAAACAATTTGGTCTGGTCTGGAGGAGATCTGCATCCCAGATAGCAAGGATAATTTGCCACAAACTTGTGTCAGGGTTAAATTGTAATTCTTTTTAACTTGCTGCACACATTCCTGGCAGGTTGTAGACTTACAGAACACTCGCAGCACAAGTTCTAGTTGACACTTTTTGAATTTGTAGCAAATTTGCTTGGCAAGTCTACAGCAAGAGTCCTGCAGGTCATAGTAAGAGCTCTGCAAGCTCGCTGGTCTGGAGACTTGCAATGCAGACTTGCTGTAATTGTGCAACAAAATTGTGAAGCTTGGCAAGTCTGAAATAGTTTAGCAAGTCATTTTCAAACTTGCAGCACAATTTCTTGCTATCTGGGATGTGGTGTGAATGGGCCTGCATGGTATGTGACAATGTCAGAGTGCAACCGCCAGCCGGAGCACCTTAGAGAAGAGGAGTCGGACACCATCTAGGAAGCCTACCGGAGTAAAGAACAAGGTAAATATATCAGCTCATTCCTCTGCCCCCTAGACTCAATGAGCTTTTAACCCTTGTATTGCACCCCAATGCAAGGGTATTTATTTTTGAAATTGCTGGAGTTCAGCTTTTAATGAGGATAGTAATTATTTACCGCTGAACATGAATGAAAAAAAATAATCAAAATATAAAACAGCACAAACGCATGTGCATTGAAGCATGTACATAGGGTTGCCACCTGTCCAGGATTCACCTGGACAGTTCGGGTTTTGAATGCTGTGTTCGGGTTTCATGGCACCAGAAACCCGGACACAAGGTGTCAGGTAGACAGGGGCAACCAAAATTAAGATAGGGGCTACTGGCCCCCCACTAAAAATAGTCTCAACTGTGATATTGACATATTAATGGGTGGTTCCTTTTACATATGAATAAGCTGCGACTCATTCTCCCAAAAAAATATGTCCACGTGTCGCTAGAGTGTTCGGGTTTCGCTCGAATAAAAGGTGGCAACCCTACATGTACATTTCTCATCAGAAACATCTTTCAGATAAGTAATATACTGTATAACAACCATACAATACATACAGTAAATATGACAGCTGTTGCTCCTGGTTATTTTCTTGGAGGTGCCAGTTCCATGGAGCTTAAAGGAGAACTATGGGGTCAGTGTTTTTCCCCATAGTTTTCCTTAGGGTAACGGGAGGACACAAACTAGCGCTCACCCGATACCCTAAGCTCAGTATACCGCGAGCTACAGCTCGCGCTATACTGAGACGCCGCAGCCGGAGCAGATCCCGACGTAGATGACGGAATCCGCCCAGCTGTGTGAGTGACAGCTGGCTCTGCCTATCTAGAGGCAGAGCCAGCTGTACCCGCCCCCTCCCCCGTCCGTTCCGCCAGTCAGCGCTGGCAGATCGGAGCGGGGAGAGGGGAATCCAGCCCCTCCCTCTGTCACGGCAGAGAGCCGTGACAGGATCGAGAGGTGAGCGAACTTGGTATGTGTTCGCTCACCTCCCGATCTACTGAGCCGACCTGTGACAGTCTCATTGTCACAGGTCGGCTAGAACTATGAGGTGAGTGGAAATCACTCGCCTCATAGTTCTCCTTTAAAGACGAGTCAGAAACAAGATTTGCCAGCTTGTATCCTGAGGTCTTGCCACTGAAATGTGTAAGCGATGGAGATAATACACTATGCACTTTAAGAATTCCATTGAAAAAGAAGGAATGTAGAAAATATGATTCTCCTTTGTTGGATCCTAGTTTCCAACTTATGACCATTTTACCATAATTCATAAATAACTATTAAGTGCAATGTATTGCTGGGTCATGCTAAAAATGCTCAATTCCATTTAAATAAATCTACATTCCGTCAGGCAGGCATTGCATTAGTAATCTAGATTTTTAAAGTCTTACCTTCTCTTTCCTCAAATAGCAGATGTGTGTCTTAATATGGTTGACTGCACAGTCATACGGGCACCGGAGTCTGACCATACTGCCCAGTGAACTACATTTTCTGACAGGCCTGGTCATATATGCCCCTTTCATACAAGACACCACCCACACGTCCTCAGCTCTACAAGTCTGTGTGATCTATGACAATGAAGAGTACCGGAGAGGAATGTAGGAAGGGCGAAGATATTTTAAGGCAATTAAAGTGGAATTTGGAATAAAATCATAACATTCGGCGATACAGGCCTATAATTAAAAAAAGCGTGACACTTCAGCTGGGCTTTAAATATGACTAAATATTTTTTTTTTACTCATTGCCCAAACATTGGAGACTGCATTCTCTGAAACATGTTTATTGTACAGGTGACCCGCACCATCATTTTGGATTTTTGGAGAAGCTGAGAAAAAGTGGATCTTTGTTTTCAGTGGTGGCGGTTTTGCATAACCGTGATATTATCAGCGGGGACAAGGGCACCCCTCTGGCTGTAGTGCTGGAGAAGTCTTTTCCACATTGGACAACACCGTAAAAGTTGAGAGTTTCCTGTGAAAAATAATTTAAACATTTTTATTTTTTTTCAAAAGCACAACACAAAATTGTAGCTCTATGTGTTAAATGTTGCATGGTTAAAGAGAACCAGTCACGAATGTGCTTACACGACAAATGAAAAAAATCAGTCCTAATTACAACTAGGGATGCACCGATACTGGAAGTCTCATTAGGGAAGCCGGGCAGCGTGTAATGACTCGATGCCCGGCTTCCTGATTAGCTGGGAAACCAGGCGGAGTGTAATTACTCACCAGGTGACAAGAAGGCATGGAGGCGGCTTTCTGGCCAATCAGGAAACTGGGGTTGGGTAATGACTCGCAGCTGACCAATCAGGAAGCGGGGTGGCGAATCATTACACGTTGACCGGCTTCCTGATTGGCCAGGAAACCGGCTCCATGTTCCCTTGTCACCAGGTGTCTAGGAAGCATGGATCCAGCTTTCTGGCCAATCAGGAAGCCGGGGGGCGGGTAATGACTCGCCGCTTGGCTTCCTGATTGGCCGGCTTCCCGACCAATCAGGAAGCCAAGTGGGTAGTCATTACATGCAGCCTGGCTTCCTGATGGGCTGGGAAGCCGGCTCCAGGGTTCCTCGTCACCAAGTGCATGGAGCCAGCTTCCCGGCCAATCAGGAAGCTGAGCAGCATGTAATGACTCGCCATCCGGCTTCCTGACACCGGAAGTTCCAGGTATCAGGATAAGCGTCAGGAGCATTTGGGCGAGTACAAGTACTGGTATTGGTGCATCCCTAATTACAACTGTGCAGTCTTATTTATGAAAGATTCACTTACTTTGTCTCAGGATGGCACTTTAGCTTGAGAGTCAGGGTCAGAAGTCACCTGAGTTCAGACAGATACTTTTTTTCTAACTCCCTTGCAGCTGTCTCCCAGCCTCTGAGCATGCATAACAGAATCAAATAATAAAGCACTGCCTTTGTTAACGTCTTCCTTAAGTGTAGTGTTTTAATATTTGACACCGTTAAGCACTCGCAGGAGCTGGGGGGCAGTATAGGAAGCCAGAAAAAAGGCAACAGTTGGTAAATTCTGTGTAGCCTCCAACTTTCAAACTGAAGAGGAACCCTTAGACCAGGGGTAGGCAACCTCTGCACTCCAGCCTTGTTGTGCAACTGCAAGTTCCATGTGGCAGTGCAAGACTCTGACAGCCACAGGCATGACTCAAAGAGGCAGAGGCATGATAGGATTTGCAATTTGCGTGCCAAGGTTGTCTACCCCTGCCTTAGACAAAGTAAAGCCCAATAAGAGGGCAATACGTATTTTCATTAAAAAAAGTCAGGTGTATGATGATAACTTTAGACTGAATATTCCCATTCTTACATAAGACCAGTTGTAAATGATTCTTTCTAAATGGTTGCTATATACATGAATATCTAAATGTGTCACCTCTCACCTAGTATACAGAGGCCCTCCTTGGCTCTGGTAAGTGCAACATTAATCTGGTTTGGGTCGCCCAAAAATCCAAGATATCTCCGCTGCCAGCTGATGGTGGGACGACTGTCTAGGTCTTGACCGGTAGCACAGCGCACGGTGGAAAAGATAACATATCGCCACTCGCTCCCTGCAGAAGTAGACAGAGGAATGAAGCATCATCGTAAAAGACAAACTATTGACTTTGCACACAGTGACCAAAAGGAAATGGAGGTGGTTGCAGAATGTTACAGAAGGAGAAGAGTAAAAGTAACTAACATAAAGAGACATACAGGGTTATTCACTAAATGGTGAAGAGTTTGGAGAAGGCGGGAGAAGTGAACAATCTAGGCCAAAATAGCTGAACTGGAAACATTTTCCAATTCAGCTCACTTTCCATCTCAGCTACATTGTCCTAGATTGTTCACTTCTCCCGCCTTCTCCAAACTCCTCACCCTTTAGTGAATAACCTTGAGGCTGTTTTCACACCTGGGCATTTTTCAGCGCTGATCGAAGTCCAATCAATCCCTGAAATCCAATCAATCCCTATGGGCATGGTTCCCACCTGGACGTATTTCAGCGCGATTTGTCGCGCTGAAAAACGCCCTACGCGCAAAAAAGTACTTGAGCTTCTTTTTCGCGCGTAGGGGCCGATTGCAGCGCGTATCCATTGGTATTCCCGAGTGTGGCTCGGGGGTTAACAAAGCGGTAACCCCGAGCCACACTCGGGAATGCAGCGTAGGTCTCACCTTGTCCACGATCACCGCTGTGTCCTCCGGCCGCTGCGTCTTCCGGGTTCCGTCCCTTGCGAGCGTCCGAGGTTAAAAAACGAGCGTTGAACGCGCGTTTTATTAGACTAAAAAACGTGCTTAAAAAACGAGCATAAAATGCACCTATAGGAACGCCCAGGTGTGAAACCAGCCTGTAGTTTGTGGAAAGAAATGTTATGAGTGATTGCTAGTACATAGTTGCTTTTATTGGACATTATATTGTATAATAGTATGGGAAGGTGCTACAACTAGACGATCTTCTTGGAAAAGAGGGCACTATAAAAGGCTTATACACTGAGTGGCCGGATTATTATGACCACCCCATCAGTACTTAGTTGGGCCGCCTCGTGACTCCACGAGATGATGAAAGGTGATGCGAGGAATCTGACACTGCACTGTTGCCCTTCTGTTGTCTTGTACCAGTCTTGCCGCTCTCCGTTCTGCCCTAACATTGACTAGTCGCTGACGGCCACAATTCGCACGTTCAGACCCAGATTTTCGGCTGACAGTCCGGTCTTTAAACACTTTAACAACAGCTGCTCTTGAACATGTAACAAATTCTGCTGTTTTGCTGATACTCGCTCCATGGCTCCGAGCGCCAACAATCATCCCACGTTCAAAGGCTGTTAAATCGCGTTGTTTCCCCGTATCTTCAGAAACAAATCACTTCTACTGTCGTGGTAAACAACCCGCTTCCCTATTTATAATGGTCTGGCCCTCTAGCAACTTCAGCGCCAAATTATAGCTAATTTGCCTACAAACGTCAGGTGGTCATAATAATCTGGCCACTCAGTATATGTCCAGCATCCTTTATGGTACTGACTGGTTTGATTTATTAATGTATGGCCTTTGCTGTTTTTTTTAGTTTTAGGCATATTGCTTTCCCTGGAAATAGGCTTAAAGGTTACTCTGCCATGATCAAGGTAAACACTTTCTAAAAAACACTATACTTTGAAGAGGAAACTGAACAGTAGAATACAGTTACACACTAACCTTGGCTCTTCATTACGGTGGAGACGGTCACATTGTTCAGTCTTTTTTCCTGCAGTCTCCTGGTGATCTCTGCCACTTGTGCATTGTAGGCGGTTAGTATGGCAATGTCGCTTTGTTCTACAGACTTAGAGACAAGTAAGGCAGCCAAATGCACCTGGCAACAAAACAAAAGTGCTTTCATCGGGCTGGGACCTGGGATGACCTAGTCGTTAACCACTTGAAGACCGGGATGTTAGACCCCCTACCTGGCCAGGCCATTTTTCAGTATTCAGCGCTGCGGTACTTTGACTGACATTTATTCCGTCATGCAGCGCTGTACTGAAGTTAACATTATACCATTTTTGGGGACAGAGAGAGCTTTTTTTTTGGTGGCATTTAATCATCACTGGGTTTTTTTGTTGTTTTTTTTTACCATATAACAAAAAAAAAGTACCCTAAATTATGAAAAAAAAAACCTGTTTGCTTATGAAATGTTATGAAACATTTATTATCACCGCAATTTCTTTAAAAAATGTTTTGTGTTATTTTACATTTATTTTATTTGTGACTATTTTTTTTTAAGCTTCTTTATTTTTTTTATGTGATAGCCCAATCCACATGACAGGTCCTCTTTATGGAGACATCATATCACCTTGGGACCTCTAGAGCTCCGATCCTCCAGCGCTGACTGGCAGAACGGACGGGGGAGGGGGCGGGTACAGCTGGCTCTGCCTCTAGATAGGCAGAGCCAGCTGTCAATCACGCAGCTGGGTGGATCCCGACAGTAATGTCGGGATCCGTCCCGGCTGCGGCGGTCTCAGTATACCGCGAGCTGTAGCTCGCAATATACTGAGCTTTGGGTCACGGGAGGACGCTAGTTTATTTCCTCCCGTGACCCTTAGGAGAACTATGGGGAAAAACACTGACCCCATACTTCTCCTTTAACTGCAGCAGAGAAAAGTCAAGTATCTTTCCTAATAGGACTGCGCTACATGCTAGAGATGTGTAAATCTCACGACTGGATGGACAGAAATACATATTCATTTGCAAGCAAAAAGGCCCCTTCTGTGTTTTAAGAAGTCTGTAGTTCACCTGTAAGGTGTACTGGTCGTTTAACTCGATATTGGGCAAAGGACAAGACATATAACAGGGTAACGAAGACAAGATAACAAACATTTACTTACTGCTTTTTTGGCCTCTTCAAGGTTCGCCTTCGAGTTTATGTTCCCTTCCTCAGTGGTGACCACCAGGCTTTGCTCCTGCCCTTCCACCTCTCCAAATACTATAGGGCAGAAGGTTCGTGAATAAAAAAGGCTGCAGCGTAGATGAATCTGGGGGCTGGTAAGCAGGCGTTCATCATAAAATTCCTTAGATGGAAACTCGCAAATATCTACATGCTGGAGGTAAAGAAGACACAACATTGGGATTTGTTACAATGCACAAAGTGATCTTTCCAAGCTGTCTTCTGCAGACTAAAAATTGTAATGGAGAGAAGGAAGGAAGATATGTTTGTAGTCTAAATTAGGAGAGCAGGATAGGGTGACAACCATTCATAGATACATATGTCTGTGAAGGTTCTCATTCATACAGGTCATGGTATATCTGTACAAATTAAGTCAATTCAACTGTATTTTTCTTGAAGACGTTTCTCTGGTCATCCGACCAGCTTTCTCAATGTATGACTGACTTGAACAAAAATTATCTGGGAATAAATATGGTGACTTGCTCCCATCCGCATAATAGTCGCTTTTAGTTAGTTCCTTTCCATGTCATTACATATCTTATTTTAGCCAGTGACATAATGACTAGGTCTCTTTGCTTCTCTTTACAATGCAGGCAGATAATGGCTAGTGGGAGGGGCCAGCAGGGTGCTGTATATAGCTTCCTGAAAACATCTCATCACCCTGCCTCAGTACTCACTTTAAGAGCCTTGATACATGAGGTGGGCTCTGAGGAGTTATTTGGATATCAAAATGCCTTGATGGGTGGACGTTACCAGGCAGACTGTATTTGCATACAAATCACTCCTAGGTAATGCCTCAATGTGATGCCAAACCTTGATGATTGAAATAATTGAAATCCAATGAATGAAAGGGGCAGGCCAGGGATAGTCAGGCTGGGGAGGGAAGATCCTAGATGATCCTGGAGGTCCTTCAGCCAGGAAATGAGGTGGGCCCTATCTGACTTGCTGCAGCTTTTAATGCCCATTTTGAGAGGCTCACAATGTGCAATAAAAATAAAAGCAATTTCCAGGAGAGGATCTGGTACAAGCAAGGTTAGACTGAAGGTAAGGCCGGAGTTCAGCATTAAACCAGCAGACAATTTTTGCCTGGATTGGCCAAATGGCCACCTTTAGCTAGGTGGGTATTTTTTTCTACAACTTCTCTTTGCTTTTCTATATATATTGTAGCAGGTCATCATGTAGAGAGCAAGGAGAGGTCCTGTCCGGGGTTTATGTGTCACCCAGATTCCTCTCTTACACCTTCCGGAACCTATAGTAAGCCCCAGGATTTACGCTTTGCCTCAGTGGCAATTTAGTGCAGGTGAGGCAAACATAGAGAGCTCTGGAGCAGACAGTCTCTATCTGCTGGAGCACAAGGTTGGTCATGGTGTTTTGCTGAAGCCTGACAAACAATAGGTTTGTACAGGTTGGCAATCAGGACTATACTATGTTTAGTTAGTGTCGGGACACGGCTAGGATTTTGTTTTTGAAGTATTTACTTTATTTGAGCACTGTATATAGCCTGTGTGTTGCACCAATAAATGTACCACTGTTTGAAGACAAGTCACTGGTCTGGTCCCTAAACCTTGCAAGATTGCTCACCCCAGGGAGCAATTGCACCCGCTACCTATTCCCCAGCTCACAATATATATACAGTATATAAAACACACATAGGCTTCTTACCATACGATACTGAGTGTTCAGAAACAGCGCCCTTTCCTCAAACCTCTCAAACAGTGATCGATCCATTTTAAGAATTTTACAAACGTCATTCATAACTACTGGGCGAAGCTGACGATGGTCCCCAATCAGAACAACCTGGGACAAAACAAACTGAGAATCAAAAAAGATGAAATCTTCACTGTTGGATGGACCTAAAACGACAGTCACCATACTGTACCTATGGCGGAGCTGCTTTTCACCCTAGTGCAGGGTTACAGAACATCTCCCCCTCATCTTTTCAGTAATATAGGAGAATGTATGTGTTTTGTAGTTCAGAGAGATAGCTGGGAACAGCATACCTCCCGGGTAGGCAACCTCAGTACTCCAGCTGTGGTGAAACTACAAGTCCCATGAAGAATTACAAGACTGACAGCCACAGGCATGAGTCCCAGAGGCAGAGGGATGATGGAATTTTTAGTTTCAGCATGGCTGGAATGCCAAGGTCGCCTACCCCTGGAATAACTGATAAAAATGCAGCACGAGCAGAGAGCACTGGAAGTTACCACTTTTTCTGGAAGGATGAACATATCAACAGATATAACAAACTGTAGATGGAAGTTCCTTGTTAGGGTTTATACTGTATAACCTTAAATATCTGCAGCATAACTCAACCAGCATGTACATTTCCAGTGCGGGAAACTACTCTTTTTCACCTGTTTTGTATCTAAGTGCTGTTGATCTCCTGCGGCCTCCTCCAGCTACTCCCCGTTTACATCCACTCCAGTGGCTCATGCATGCAATTGACAATGGTGAAAAATGTCTGCGCAATGAGCAATGGCAAGGCTGGTTATAGCCTGCACTGAAAGCATATGTGACCGGATGACAACACAGAAGCACAATAAGGAGAAGGAACGTTGTCACCCTGTAACAGGAAGTGCCCAAACAAGAACCTTCATGGCAGAATAACCAGATACTATTTTAATAAAAGCTGCAGATTTGAGAACATTGAAAATGACATTAACATGGTAAAGAGTATACAAGTGTTTCTTGACTGGATTTACATCTACTTTAAATTTCTCATAGGAGGCAGCGTGTGGCTGTGAGGCACCATTAGAAAGAGGAAAGGGGGATCTTTGCAAAGGAACAGAATCTTATTTTGACAATGGCTGTCATCTGCTGAATGGCTCACAATCTCAGCTTGTGAAAATACAGCCATCGTGTTCCCTGGTTTCGGCACCCGCTCATTAAAACTCACTGGAGCATAAGGGGCAGATGGCACAGGCTATAACCTTGTAAGTTTGGTGGGGTCTTTAGGAACTGTGAGGACCCCGCCAAAGGTAAGTGTCCACGTCACCAGACAGTGAGGTAGACACCCGGAAAAAGACTTTCCCACTCTGCGGCGGTGCAGAAGAGAGAAGAGCTGGATGCAGAGTGTTACGCGACCACAGATTTAGGCCCCATTTACATGTAGCGACATACCTTTTGCAGCAGCCGGGATAGCGCGACTTTCGGGGCGACGTTCCAGCGACGGTAGCGCGACCTTCTCTGTCGGGCTCCATTAGAAAAAAGCAAAATCCGCCGAAAAAAGGGTCCTGTAGAAGCGACTTGCGACCGCGACGAGCGACATGGAGCTAAGACAGCTCCATTGAATATCATTAGCCGACGACTTCTCGCGGCAAAAATGCGCGATATCGCGGTGGAAATCGCGCGATAAATCGATACGTGTGAATGGGGCCTTAAAGTATTTGGGGTATTTTTTTTTTCATTACTGTAGCGATTAGCTCGAGTAGTGTAGAGTACTCTTTAGTAGAGGGGGTGTATATAGCCATATCAGTATATGTATTGCCTTTAAGAGTTTTGCACAATATAAACATTATAGTGCATAACATTTCCACTTACCGACTGTACTTGTTTGTGGCTGACTAGCGGCACGAGAGACTCTGGCTCAGTGCACATTCCGCACTCATCAATGATCACCTGCGTGATGGGCAGGTCTGTCAGCATTTTACTGGAAGATGCCACGCAGGTACACAAGATGATGTTGTGGCGTTCCAGCTCCTCTTTGCGAGCTTTAGAGATCAAGCCCTTGTACCTGAAGCAGAAACAGCGAGAACGGGTTGACATCTTTGAAAAGGAAATGAAAGCAAAGATGAGGGGGAAATGGGTTAAGTATTCGGACCAGACAGACGCCACCTTGAACCGCAGCATTCAGAACAATGAACTCTGATTTGCTGACTGGTTACTGCAGGCCTTTATCTCTGCACATAACTCATTGCACTAATACTCCAGATTTGTATTGAAGATGCTATTTTGTGCTGGAGGCATGGCCTCTTAGTGTCGATGTATCGTACAGATGTACAATAAAGTTGACTTCTGATTTAAAAAACAACTCATTGCACTACATGGTAGATACACCCAAAAGCTAATATTTTGGTGTATGACCAGCACTGAGGGGGGTGAATTTATTGCCAGTATTTCTTTTGCAGAATCCAGTAGTGAGATTTCACTGCTGTGTTCCACAAGGAAACACCGATGATCCACTGTTGGATTATTTGTACTAGGTGTTAGGCTGCTCCCAGTCCACGGACTGCAGAACCGTTTTTTTTTTTAGTGCCCCCGCGGGACCTCAGGCAGATGCCCATTCTGTCTTTTTTTCAATCTGTCGCTGGCATGATCAAATCAAGAGAACGGCGGAGCCTTTTTCAGTTCTTCTGAATTTTTGCATGAAGATCTGTACCATTAAGCAATGTAGGCTTTTATGGCAAGCATGATTCATGAATTGTTAGAATTTCTGCAAGGTGGACAAATCTGCATGTACAGATGGAGCTGATTAACACAAATTTGCTTATCACCAATAAATAAAGACATTGTTTAATTACAGTTGGGCTCCCCTGTTATTTATTTTGTACTATATGCAGGGGCGTAACTAGAAATCACAGGGCCCCATAGCAAAATTTTGTATGGGGCCCTGTGATTTCTAGTTACAACTATATGTAATGGGAGGAGGTGAAGCCATTGTCACAGCATTTTAAGGCCTCAATCAAACCTAGGCGACAGCGTTTTTGCGCGTCTGTGATGCACGTTTTTTTGCGCATACGACAAAAAGCTCGTTTTTGTGAGCAGATTGTAGCTCAATTATGTTAGTGAGAAAAAGCCCATAAAACGAGCAGAAAAACGGGCAAAAACACAGCAAACGGGCGTTTTCAAGCGTTTTCTATTCAGTCTATGGGGCCAAAACGAGCTGTAATATGCCACAAAAAAAGCTCCTGTACTTTTTCCAGCGACAGGCGTTTTGCTTATTGCGACAAAACGCTTAGATGTGAACAGGGCCATAGAAATGAATGGGATTTTTGGGGGGGCAGATTTTTGGAGCGTTTTTTAGGGCAGAAAACACACTACAAAACGCTCAGTGTAAACCATGACTAAGAGAAGAGAGTACAAGACAGAAGTGAGTTGAGACAGAAGGACAGAAAAACATTGAGCATGCAGTGAGAACCAATGTACAGGTGAAACTCGAATAATTAGAATATTGTGCAAAGTTCATTTATTTCACTAATGCAACTTAAAAGGTGAAACTAATATATGAGAGAGACTCATTACATGCAAAGCAAGATAGTTCAAGCCGTGATTTGTCATCATTGTGATGATTATGGCTTACAGCTCATGAAAACCCCAAGAACCCCAAAATCACAACCTCAAAAAAGTAGATTATTACATGCAATCAATAAAACAAGGATTGTACATAGAACAATATCGGACCTCTGAAAAGTACAAGCATGTATATGTACTCAGTACTTGGTTTGGGCCCCTTTTGCAGCACTTACTGCAATTACTTTTGCACGATATTCTAATTATTCGAGTTTCACCTGTATATGACACATCACATATAACCTCCTCCTGTTTTTACTTACTCATCGATTTGCTCGGGGGTCATCTCGTCCCCATTTTGGATTTTCTGGTCCATCTCCTGAATTTCCTTCCAGTAAGAGTTGGGGGGCTGTCGGATCAGATGATGCAGGGCAATAGGTCTGTAGGAGACAAAGAGGCCATAAGTCATCCTGCACAGCACTTCCACCTGAGAAATAATCCCCAAAGAGCACATCACTGTCCAATAGGTATTGCATCCTCTAGGTCTTGCAAAGCATTACAGCCATTTATATGCAACACCCTGTTTATAGCTGTATGCTCTTTTTAGTCTGTAATACATTTTTTTCAGAAATGAACCAAATGAGGTCTCAACATAGGACAAGCAAGCATCATGTCATCTGATATCAGAGCAGATCACCTCTGCACTCTGGGTGACTCACCTTTACAACCTTTATTGATCCAACTTCACCTTGTGATTGTGTTACAGTATACCTTTCATGGTACCTTGACAGCGTCCCCAGACCTCTTACCTCAATATATTATCCGGCCTCCCTTCTCGGAGGTATCCGGTAAGTCTGAGATTGCTTCCAGGATAGGGAAACTCACTCAGCTCCATCTGTTCACTGTACACACGTAGCGGACGGAGCTTTTCACGCAGAGGAAGCAGCATTTCTGAAAAAAGGATAGCAGGGTAATTAATGTGAACAGATGGTGAATGGTATAATATTTACACGCACTACTGTATAGATTTGCACAAAGTCTAAGGCACACCTTTTCAAGGGAAGGGAATTTATCAAAACTGGAGCAGACAAAATCTGGAGCAAGCGTGCACGGCAACCAATCAGCTTCTCTCTTTCATTTTCAAACCTTAACTAAACAAACTGAAGAGAGAAGCTGATTGGTTGCCATGCACAGCCGCTCCAGATTTTGTCTGTTCCAGTTTTGATAAATTCCCCCCATTGTGCCTTGCAAAACATTCTAAAACAGAAAGAGAAAGTAGAGCTGCTTTATAAACTCCTTTGAGCAAAACATGTAAAACCTTATAAACAGGTATAAAAAAGTCTCTATGTAAGCGTTAACATAGGAACTATCCACACGTGTAAAAAGTCATGTCTTACCGCTTACAACATCCACTGACTTGTTGGATGGACCACAGTACATGAGCATCCGCCGGCCCATCATCTCTTCACTGTCTGCAGTAGGCTGTGTATCTTGGTTCGCGTGATGGAACCAGTAAGCCAGGTGAACACCAACCACAGTTTTACCAGTGCCTGATAGGAGAAAATAAACATCAAGTGAGTAATGGGATTCTTCTTATTTCCCCATGGGGCTTTGTTAGCAGAATCTACAGCCTTGTGTGCGTTTGTTTTTCCGTTTCAGCTTTCTGCAGAAGATTCTTGAATATGGCCCCAAATAATGGAGATAATAGGATTTTTGTACTCTCAGCAAAATCCATTCCTTGTAGTCTATTGAGGGAAACAGGAAGTCTTAGAACTATGGGTTATATTGCCACCTAATGGGGGCGGGGGATTGGACACTAGCTAATAAAAAATCTGTAGGCCAACCCAGGATAAGCCCCTGCTTTGCTGAATCTCTTTCCCAGAAAGGTTGCCCCTTACAGGCCACTTGAGGACTGATTTTTCAAAGACGTAGGGGATTACTTCATAGGACTTTCCTTCTAATCCTAACCTCCCCTATACACTATACCACTCTCCTTCCCATCCCTGCTTTCTTGGAAATACCATTGCCTGATGTTCTCTGTCCCCTATCAGTTTTACTTTAAACCATAGGGATTTTCTTCTACCCACTTATCACCCTCCCCCGCCTCCCCCCCCCCTCT